GAGGGCGCGGGCCTCGCAGCCTCGAGGCGCGGTCCCGAGTGTAGGCCCGCCCCCGACCTGGGTCTGCGTCTGACCTTGGACTCGGTGGCCCCGGGGCGGGGGTTACGCACCTGCCCTCGGAGAGGAGAGGGTGGAGCCTGGGCCGTGCGGGGACGCGTCCCGGTGCGGCATCCAGGCCTTGTCGGCCGGGGAAGCTGAGGAGCAGGGTCCACGCCTAAGACCTGGGCCTGTTTTCCTGTTCTCTCTCCGCGGTACTCCACTGAGTATGCCGCTAGACGAACGGCAGGCAGGATATTGGTGTATGAGTGTTAAAGACTGGGGTTGAAGGGCTCCGCGGCTAAGAGTACTTGCTGCTCTTCCAGAGGACCCGGGTTTGGTTCCCAGAACTCACTCAGGCTCCTCATACTGTCTGTAACTACAGCTCTGGGGCGTGGCTCCCTCGGGCAGCTGCACTCAAGTGCGAAAGCAGCAGCACACATCAACACACAATTAAAGTAATATTAATAATGAGGGAGCCGAATTGAGCACAGGATTAATGGAGTTCCCTTGATCCTGGGTGCCTGAGGAGGAAGTATAGTGTCTTGGGAGAAGAAACTTTTTATTTTGTTTTAGTTTGATTCTGCCCCCCCCCCCCCCCCCCCGTTTCGGTTTCAACTCAGGGCTTCTCACTGTAGTCTTGGCTTCCTGGACTCTTCTAGACCAGGCTGGCCACGAACTCATATCGATCCTCCTGCCTCTGCCTCCCTGCGCGCTGGGATTGAAGGTGTGCACCACCATGCCCGATTTAGTTTAATTTTTTGAGATAGGGTCACACTGTGTATCTCTGGCTAGTCTGGAACACACTGTTTGACCAGGTTGACCTCAGCCTCTCAGATACCCACTGCTTCTGTCTCCCAAGTCCTGGGATTAAAGGTATGTACCACCATGCTGGGTTAAGACTTTATTTTTATAAATAATTGATACCAGTTATATGTGAGTAAACATATACCAGTTATATGTGAGTAAAGAGACCACTTTGGTCTCTTTAGGTACAAAGGTGAATGGAACCTTCTAAAACAAAAACAACCCTGCAGACTTGTTACCCAGACAGCACACAAAATTTCACATAATATTTACCAAATATCAGAAATGTGCCCTGCACTGAGAGTCCCAGCAGTGGTCCTCAGCCCCTGCCTTTCGGCTCCTTTGGGAACTGAATGTCCCTTTTAGAAGGACCTACAGCCATTGGAAAACGGTTATCTGCATTATGATTCATAACAGCAAAATTAATAGTTACGAAGTAGCAAGGAAATAATTGTGGTTGGGGGCCACCACAGCATGGGTGTTGAAGGGTTGAAGCACTGGGAAGGTGGAGACGCTAACACGGCGGATAATGGCGGTGCGAAGAAGTAACATCCACCCCTGACGGTGCTACAGCCCTGTAATCCCAGCCTTGGAGGCAGAGGCAGCTAGAGCTCTGCGATTTTGAGGCCAGCCTGGTCTGGTGTGCAAAGCAAGTCTAGGACACCCAGGGCTACACAGAGAAACCCTGTTTCAAAACAGAAACAAAACAGAAGGTGGTGAAGAAGTAGCAGCAGCGACGTCTGTTAGAGCCTGCAGATGAGGGAGGAAACGGAGGGATTGCACGTTACCTTGGCTGCGTCTCCAGGATGCACAGGCTGGCAGCGGTCTTCCGGGAAACGAGGATAATTTGTTTTCAGAGGCAGAAAAGCTTTAAAGAATGGAGAGTGTTTGGACGGCGGGACACTGAGCACATCTGCAGCTGCCAGCTGTTTGTGGAGAATGTGAGGTAGGATGTGGTAAAGGAAACAGGCCTAATCATGGGAGCATTGTGAGCTAGATGGGGTATTCGTTCTGAAGGCCTTGAAGAGCAGCAAACAGGAAGCAGCATGGCAACTGTAGTTTAGAAGAGGAGGTGAGACGGGCTAGTGAGAGCTGGCTTCAGAGGACCAGGGCGTCCTCTTGCAGATGTTGGTGACAACTGCAGGAGGTTGTCCTGGAGCCAGATGAGTAATGGAATTCAGCTCACCCGGCTTCAAAACGTGCTGTTTTGATTAGTCACTTCATTAACAGGTGTGTGCGTCTGTGCGTCGGGGCTTTCTGAATGAGGTTGCTGAGACTTTTCTCCTAGTGTGCCTTGTAAAGACAAGTCCAGGTCTGCAGCGTTGAGGGTTGAGGACCCTGCCATCCCTCAACATGACAGCCAGCTGTGTTCAGCCTCCTCAGGTGGGAGCCCCCATCTTCAGGGATAGCTCAGCGTAGCCGTAGTAAGGAGAAGTGAGTCACGAAGATAGGAAATGGTGCGTGGGAACATGCATTTACTTAGACTCTGGGAGTGTATGAGAATGAGGCTTCTTGTGTGGCTTTTGTCTCTGAGAGAATGAGTGGAGACTGGCTCTGGTTTCTGTGTGAGAGGTCACCTACAAACAACATTATTATGTCACTGGCAGAATTCAAAGTAAAAATAAGAATGTGGAAGACTGCCTGTGAGGTCCTCCCCTTTGTTAGCTTTGCTTGTTGGTGATAGGGTCTCTGTAGCCAAGGCTAGCTTCAGATTTGTGATGCTCTTCCTGCCTTGGCCTCCTGAGCTGTAGGATTACAGACTTGGGCACCACATCCTGCTCTCATAACTAACTTTCATTCTGTCTTGTTTTACTATGATCAGGTGATTTTCCATATATTGTTATACAAATGTAGATTTTCCAAGCGCTGATTTTGTTCAAAACAAAGAAAATCTAGGAGATGTTGAGCCGGGCATGATACTGCGTGTCTGTAATCCCAGGTGCTCTGGAGCCTAGAGCAGCAGGACTGTGAGCTGGAGGCCGGCTTGGGAAACTTAGTGTCTCAAAATAAGATAAAAAGTAAACAGGGCCTGATGACATACCTTAATCCCAATACTTGGAAGGCAGAGGCAGGTGGATCTTTGTAAGTCTGAAGCCAACATGGTCTGCATAGTGAGCTTTAGGCCAGCCAGAGTTACATAGGGAGACACTGTCTCAAAAAAAGACTGCCACAATTCCGTCTGGTACCCTTACAGTTATACAGGTAACAGCTGATTCCCCGGAAAAGGAGAGCTCTAGCTTTGGCCTCTTTCCTTGCTCCATGAGCTAAGAAAAGACTCTGGGGGCTTCCAGCTCAGTTTGCGGGGCCAAAAAAGAGCCTCCCAGCTTCAGTGTTCCAGAGATGTCCGGGCTGGCGTGTCCCCAGGGCAGGGCATGCTGGTCACCAGCGCGTGGCTGAGCAGGCTGGGTGGAGAAGGGGCAGCACCAGTCACCTTCAGCCGCTTTTCTCTGCTCACGTGACTCATCTGGTCTCTCCCACCTCGTGGACTCTAGTCTTCAGGCTTCTGGAGTTTTGTACTCTTTAAGCCCTGTCCCTCTGCTTGTTCCACCCCCTCTAATGGGAACATGTTCACATCTCTGTCAGCAGGGAACATCAGTGGTCGTGTGACACCCACGTGTTACAAAACCCACGCATTAGTGTCTCTGTCCTTGTCACTCCCCCTGTCCCATCTGTGGCCCCTCCCGTCCCCGTGGACAGCTCCTCAACGTTAAACTTTGGTGTTGATTTTCGTCTTGGGGTTCTGAGCGTTGAGTCCACACTGGGGCCTGTGTGCTGGGGAATGTTGTGACCCTGGCTGCTGTTGAAAGACCCCTGCCTCACCCTAAGTTAAACATAGCTAAACGCCATTTTGTGAGACACCACTGTGTTGAGAAACTCTGTAGGCTAGGTGGGGAACTGGAAAATTACTGAGAAACCCAGCTGTGTCATATCTGCGGTCAGGCTGCCCCAGTTGAGCTAAAAACAGCTTGTGTTAATCACCCTCATGGGATATCTGTGAGACTGTTCCAGTTGAGATAAGGGTCCTAAGAAAAACAACATGTGGCGGGCCAAGTTAAGGGGTCATCATGACCGTCTCGACCACCCAGTTCCTGGTATTTCTGCCAAACTCTGACTCAAATTGTGGTCTCATTTAAATGTACCAATCAGCTCCCTGTAACCATGCTTCTCGCTTCTGTACCTGCGCTTCTGCTCTAAAACCCTATAAAAACCCAGCTTTCCACCCAGAGGGCGCAAGTCTTCCGGAAGGCTTTGTCACCCCGGGTACCCGTGTATCAAAATAAACCTCTTGCGGCTTGCATCCGAAGGCTGGTTTCGCTGTTCCTTGGGAAGCGGGGTCTCCCCGTCTAGAGAGACTCTACTGGGAGTCTTTCATTTGGAGGTCCCACCGAGATTTGAGACCCCTACCCAGGGACCACCGACCCAAATTCGGGAGGTAAGATTGCCGGCAGAACTTGTTTGTCTGTGTGTCAGTTGGTCTCTGTCTTAAGTGTTTGCATCCGAATCTGAGGCTTGGCCAAGTCATCCGTATTAGGGCGGAAGCCAGAAGGAGCCGACGGGCTCGGACTTCTCTTCTGCACCCCCGGCAGACGTCTCAGGGGGTCTGAGAGGGGGCTAGGTTTTGGCTCCCGTTTGTTGTGAGGGTTCGAGTCCCTCCCAAGGGTTCGAGTCCCTCGTAAAAGTGGAAACACGGCCTGACCCGGACTTTTCGGGGCTTCACCCCTGTTCGAGGGCTACGTGTTTCATCTGGGAGATGCAGGAACCGGACCTCCAGCGCAGTCTCCATCTGAAGTTTTGCTTTCAGTTTTGCGTCGCTCTCGTGCCGCGCGGCTTGTGTCGTGTTCTGTCTGTCTAATTTTTGTAGCAAGTGTAATAAGTGTTTTCTTATGTATGTATGTATTTTTCTGTGTCTGTTTCTTTGTAGACTTAGACTGATGAAAATTCAGACAGAGGACAGTTAAAATTAGAACTAGTTCTCGGCCCGGGAGTGCACACGGCTGCATGGCAGGACACCAAGCAGTGTGCTCTCCCTCCTGAGGGAGCCGAGGAGGGAATGCTTTCGGGTGGCTGGGGAGACATGTGGAGCTGGGGCCGGAGCTTGGGCAGGCGGTGCTCAGGCACTTAAAGGTCTGTGAAACAACAATGCACACCCAGCAGGACACGGGCTTGATGTGGCCCCTTGTTGCGATAGACAGCTAAAGAGCGTGGGGGAGGGGAGAGGCCCGGCCAGGAAGCAGGTTCAGGACCCGCGGGGGAGGTAAGCTAGAGTGAAGCTCACAGGGAGCCAAGGGAGCAGGCAAGGCTCGTGGGCTTGCTAGGTGGAAGTCCTTATACAAGGCTAGGCGGGGATTGTCACCGTAGCTGCTCCAGGACAGGAGCTGCTCTGGCTGCCGAGAGTGAGGAAAAACTCCTCCCCCTTGCCTTCATGCCAGCTCAGCAGGGAAGGGAGCGGCAGGAGCTCACCACACCCTCTTGCTCCTCTCTTCCCTCCTCCCACCTAGGGGGCTTGCAACTTACAGATCAAACAGTAATTTAGGAAATATATGGCCATTATATGATTGTTTTCAATTGGTCTTAAATGGTTGATATGATCAAAAATAATTGGGTATGTTTTAAGGTTAAATTCAAATCCTTGTTTAAAACACGTATATGTGCCTATGTGTTTGTAGGGTCTATGAATACATATGTTTAAATAACAACAATGTAAATTGCCAAATGGTGTGGCTCAGGAAAAGAACAAAGGTTGCAAAATCTCTGAGTCAAAATGATTTTATTTCCTTTTAAGATAAGAAGAAAGTCTTGTTCTAAGTTAATATTGGTTCTGAAGATTGGGTTGTTTTCACTGATAAATTTTGGTCTTAAAATCTGGTTTAAACTTTTATCTGGTTTTGACTTTAAAATTATGGTTATGCTTTGTGAATTCACTCCTGAAAAAATACTTTGCTTTGATATTGCAGGGACGAGTTTTAAAAATTGTTTAAATGTTTAAGGCTATAAAATATTTAAAGTTTATCAGGCATTTGGGTATGACAATGATCTTGGATAATCTGACAAAATTTAAAAGTTTCTCGATCCTTTGGGGGAAAATAAAAATACTTTGATATTTATTTTATCAATTTTATTAAATAAAACCCAGCCGTATGGTTTGTGCTAATTGAAAAAAAAATTGCAGTTTTTAAAATGTATCTTATGGAGAGCTGTTTGTTTGT